AGAGTCGGGGGCGCGCGGCTGCCTTTGCCCGCTCACCGTCACCACCCGGGGGTGCCCTGCTCCCCACAGACCCTCTCTCTGAGGGACTCGGGGGCATCCCCGCCCGCTCTGCTTCCCCTCCGCCCTCCTCGCCTCCATTCCTGGCTCCCGACCTCTCCTGGGCAGGCCCCGTCCTCTGAGGTGCTCTGGGTCTGGGTGGAAACCTGGCCCCCACATTTCTCCAGCTCCCCCTTCAGCCTGCGGAGAAGGGGCAGAGGAGAGAGCAAGAGCGGAGGGGTCGGGGAGGAAGCCGCAGAGGCGCAGCGAGCGAGGCCGAGGCGGGCGCGCGGGGACGGGAGGGCGCCCANGGAGGGTGTCGGCGTCCCCTCCCTCGGGGCCCCTGCTCCCCCGCAGGGCCTCCTTCCCCTCTCACCCTCCGCTGGCTGCCGGGGCGCCCCCGACCCCCGGCGGCGAGCGCAGCCTCTGCTCCACCAGCTCCAGCTTGCTCCGCGCCAAGTTCTCTGCAGGAGGGGGGCGGGGGGAGCAGGGTGTCTTGGGCGCCTGGAGCTCCCGGGAGCCAGTCCCACCCCCGAGTCCCTACCCCATGCTGGGGTCCCACCTTCAGTGAGCAGCTGCTCCTTGCTGCTCTGCAGGGCACTGATCTCCCAGGCCAGTCGCCGCCCCAGCATCTGCGAGGAGAGAAGAGGCCTGTCTGTCCATCTGTACTCCCGGACCCCTCCTCCTTACTTGAATTAAGTCATTCATTCATTCCCTCAACTATTTATTAACAAAACGTGCAGTTTCTGCTGTGGCTGAGTGCTGGTGGAGACACATTTCCCCCCAGTGGCTCCCCATATCCCCGGGTACCTCTCAAATCTCATGTCCTGCCCACCCTCCAGTTTGCTTTTTCCTCAAATGTTCCAGGCACAGCTCAGCCTGGGGGCCCTGCCATTGGCCTTTCCTTCCGCCAGGAACATCTGCACCCAGACACCTGTGTGGCTCCCTCCCTTAGTTCCTTGTCTCCGCACTCAGGAATCACTTGCTGATGCCTTCCCCAATTGATATTACATGATCTATCTTACTTTTTAGAGTCTGGGTATGCCTCCCCCTGGCCCCAACCATCCTGGGACGGACAAACACTTGGCCCTTGGGTTCCCTACTGTCTCCTCCCGCCTGGAATGCTGCGAGATGCATCCAGGGACATTAGTTGAACGAAGGAATACTCTGACCATGGATTTTTCAGGGTCCCCACTTGCCACTGCAAGGTAAGCACACTCTAGGTGAGCAGGAGGGAAGCAGGACCAGCAATGGTTACCGCAACAGTCTGGGCAACCTTGTAGCAGTGGGGGATGGTGAGAGGTGGCCAGGTTTAAGGTAAGAGCTGAAAGATTGGCTGGATGGGCAAAAAGAACTGAGTCAAGGACTTCCATGGGGTTGGGCCGGAGCAGTAGGTGAACCTGAACAGCCAGTGGAGATACTAAAATCAGGAGAGGAGGGGCTTTGGTTGGAGGCAATGGCGATGGCTCACCTGGAATTCCCAGAGATCCTTGTGCTGACCCATCAAATCCTCCAGCTGTCCTTCCACATGAGACCTAGGGGCCAACACCCAGGATGAGAGAACACCTGCCAGGACTGACAAACAGCCCAGCGCAGTCTGGGGATTCCTGTGCACAGGCCTTTAAGTCTTTGCCCAGTGCTCCCTCTGCTAGGAGCCCCTTTCTAAGTTTTATCTTCCAAGCCTTGGTTCCAAGAGCTCTCTTCCAACAGACTCTCCCTGACGCCAGCTCCACTCTCACTCCCCACCCAGTGCCACACCAGGGCCTAGACCTGGGGTGACTCCAGTGACTACCCAGCTTCCTCTTTTTACAACTCTTTAATCTGAGAGTTATGGATGGAAATTTGGCCCATGAACTCTGCAACATGTGCTCCCAGGGAAGGGAAAGACAACCTCAATTGTGTTCTCTGAATGATGCCCCCCTCCCTCTTGCAGGAGTGGGATTGGGGGAGGGGGCTGTTCATAACCTTCATCATTCCCCTTTCTTCTGCTGATTGAATGTGAAACTTTATAGGCCTCTGTGGAGAACATCACCCTGTCTATGCTGTCCCCATCAAACCATGAAGTTGGGCCTGAGCAGCAGGTGGATCTGAGCAATGAGCAGAGACATTGAAGCCAGCGAGGAGGGGCTTTGCTTGGAGGAACACTTTGTGAGGGGAGCCGTAGTGTAGTTTCATAGGTTCTAAAGTCCTGCCTTAAAGCCTGAATCTGCTATTCTATTGTGATTCTGGACAAGTTACTTAACCTCTCTGGGTCTCAGTTTACTTATATGTTAAATGGTGGTAATGATGGAAGGGTGACATTCACCATTAGCTCATTTAATTGTAATTGTGAGGATTATGTTGATAAACATAAACTGCTTATCAGACTGTGTGTAGTATAGTTAAGCATACACACACTTTAAATATCCGGCATCAGGTTTTCCCGTACAACTGAAACCATGGTGCACCAGGGTGTGACACCTCTGGTCACAAGAACAGTTAAGTGAAGGTTCAAATGATGAAGAGATGGACAGATGGATGGCTGGCTGGACAGTTAACTGGATGGGTGAATGGCTGGCTGAAGGGATGATGGCTGGCTAGAGAAATGACAAGTAGAGGGAGATGGCTGGGTGGAGAAACAAAAGGATTACTAGAAGGGTAGATGGTCTGGGTGGGTGGTTGGGCGAAGAAATGAACAGCTAGATGAACAGATGATTGGAATGATGGAGAGAAGAGTGAATGATTCAATGGATGGAAGATGATAAGGAAGGCTGGAGAGATAATGTCTGGCTCGCTGGCTGAAGGGTTGGATAGTAGGACAGGTATACTGATGGGTAAATGAATAAATGGGTGAGTGGGTAGATGGATCACTAGGGGGCCTAAATGAGCAGACAGATAAACAAATGAATGGATTGCAAAACTGGATAACCAATAGGGGAAGACTTAGAATCTAACACCAGTGGATGAAACTGATAAAGAAACCAGCAAGGAATGATTAAATGAGTTCATCTTACCACCACTATCAGAGATGCGCATAGACGTCCTTTGTCTAGCTTGTCTATATTATAATAGGGGGAAATGAGGTATGTGTGTCCAAGATTTATTTTTCCCTAGCTCTTGCTCCTTGGAGCTGGGGAGTAAGGTACGGAAGAGCTGGGCAGGGCCTCTTACCGCTGTGCCTCACTCTCCTTCTTTTCGCAGTGCAGCTCAAGGATCCTCAGTGCTTCTGTGGAGAGGAGCCAGGAGGGCCATGTGAGAGCTCTTGGGAGGTCAGGCTTGGGCAAAGGTGATGGGCACTGACAGGCACTAAGAGGACTTCAGTGTTTAATTCAAGTCAGGTGACAGCCAAGAGAGAGATTTGAGCAGAGAGGGAAGCACCCTGACTTGGGTTTCAGTGGGATTCTTTTGGCTGTTTTAGGGACTGTTGGCTTTGGTGGGATGATGGGTAGAATAATGAAGACAGAGCATCTGGTAAATACCTTGCTTTTTTCTCAAGACCTCCTCTAGGTGCACTTTCTCTCCATTCACTGGAAAACACAGTGTCACTTTGAGCCTCCAAGGAAGGGGCTATATCCTGTGCCCCCACTGCAACTTTATGCAAAAGGCATGCCCAAGGTTACACAGAAGGTCTGGGACAGCCCCAGGAGAGGAGAGGTATGTTCTTGCCACCCTGCACCCATCTCCCACTGGGGGGCTATCCTGACCCAGCTTTTTCCCCTTGGTGTCCACATCCCCTGTAAATGCCAAAGAAGTAACAACTCTGAGGAATGAGGTGACTAGAAATAAATGCACCAAGCCAGGTGAAAATAAAGGCTATGAAAAAACAAATCAAGCAGGACAGTGAGAGTGACAGAGAGGAGGTGGTATTCTATTTGCACATGGGACCATCAGGGTAGACCTGTCGGGTGAAGTTTCAGCTAAGAGCTGAAAGGTGACTTGAGACAGCAACAGGTAATCTGGATTACAGAGAATAAGAGCATTGCGGATAGAGGGGCCAGCCTACACAAAGACCCTGAGGTGTGTTCAGGAAAGCCAGCAGTGGTCATAGGATTGCAGGGTTCCTCTTTTGGTCTCACTTACAAGAGTCCAATTCCCTGCGCAGGGCCTCCCAGAGAGCTTGGGCTTCTCCCAATTCTTCACAGGATTCCTTCTTTGCTGGGCCAAAACAAAAGGAAGGCAGCACTGTGTGAATGCAGCCTCTAGCCTTGCTATTGTCCCTCAGGTTGTGATACCACACACTCATCTTTAAACAGCCTGGAGGGGCCTGGGTTTTATAGAGAAGTGGAGGCATCCAAGGTCCATTGCCAGCCTCCGTCCATTTACCTTGCTGAAGCTCATTAATCCGGTTAATCAGGTGTTCTATCTGTGGCTCCAGGCTTCCCTCTGCAGAAGGAAAGAGAGACTGAACCAAACACACGTGCCTGGCTATCCAAGGTGGATGGGGGAGGGGGGCTGGTACTGTATGTCTGCCGCTGTCATCAACACACATTTATTGTCTGCTGGGTTCTGTAAGAGGCCCTGTGCAGGGCTTGCATTCTGGGTGCAAGAGATGGACAGAAAACAAAGATGTGGTATCAGCGTAGTGGCAGTAACTGCTGCAAAGGGGAGTAAAGTGAAGGGGCTGAAGAGTGAAAGGAGAGAAGGTGCTTCCTGAGGTGTGGAAAGGCCCCGCATGGGGAGAGGGAAGGGAGCCCTGCCA